CCCCCCCCCCAGCCCCGTTCCCGGTGATCGCCACACACCAACCCCTACAGCGGCCCGCGAGCTCATCAGAGTAATTAACACCGTGTCACCAGTCAGACACCAGCAAGGGGTGCAAACACCCATCCAAAGCTTATGTTTCCTTGAAAAAGTTTAGAAGCAATTGCAAAAAAAAAAAACAAATCTATGCATACAATTATATTTTCCCCCTACAATGTCGTCAAAACAAAACAAAAAGGCTACAATGTCTTAAAAAAATATTGGAGTTTCAAGTTCACCCACAACCCAGCCTCAAACCAAAACCCTGAAGCCATGGGGAAGGACAGGGGTAAAAAAAAAAAAGCTTAGAAAGTCACCCTGAGTTCAGGCAGAAGTCGAACAAGCACCACCCGAGCAGTTGGCAGCCCTTTGGCCACAGGGTCAAAACAAAACAAAAAGGCTACAATGTCTTAAAAAAATATTGGAGTTTCAAGTTCACCCACAACCCAGCCTCAAACCAAAACCCTGAAGCCATGGGGAAGGACAGGGGTAAAAAAAAAAAAGCTTAGAAAGTCACCCTGAGTTCAGGCAGAAGTCGAACAAGCACCACCCGAGCAGTTGGCAGCCCTTTGGCCACAGGACAGCGGTGCAGAGCCACACACGGCACAGGGCGAGCAGCTCCCGGGCTGTCCCCAGCACCCACAGCGCAGGCACTGGGCGCCCCCAGCCTGGCCCAGCTCCCAGCCAGGCTCAAAGTACAAGCACACACAAGTGTAACGCACTTTCCCGGCAAATTCCTCCCCCGTGATCCAGCTACACCTTTAACCAACACGGGGCAGCTCCCCGTGATCCACCGGATTCGGGACTCACCTTCTCAGCCTGGGGGTACAGAACGCGGGGGCTGCCCCACTCCCTGCTGATCCGCCGCCGGTACTGGTGGCACTTGGGGATGTACATGCAGCCCACATTGCCCAGGTCTGGGTAGATAACTTCTAAATCCCCTCTGGTGAGGAAAAAAAGAGGGAGAGGAGAGGATATAGGGTGAGACCACAGCATGCAGGGGTTGGGAATTAGTGCTGCTTCCCAGCCAGGCTTGAGCTGCCGTTGCAAAGCTGGGTGGGAGACACAGCCCCCAACCTGCTGGCAGAGGTGCTGGGCATCTTGTGCACCAGGATAAGCACCTTCCCATGCTGTAACAGAGCCATGGGGTCTGCTCCCTCTCCCAAGCAGCAGCAAGACTTTAAAACATTCATTATGGCTCAAGCACACCCTGGATCATTCCCAGTATTTTCCATAGTTTTAAAAATCACAGCTCGTACAGGTTAATCTAAGGCTTGGAGAACAAAATTACCCCTACTCCCCATCGGCCTTGGACAAGCCATTTGAACTCTGAGCCCTCTTCTCCCACTTGTGATAGGGAAGCAGGGACAAGCCTCCTCGGTGTTTTGGGTACAGATAGTTCAATAACAGGTCGGATATCTCCAGCTCCAACTTCTTTACGAAGTGCTTTCCCCTTCTGCATTATCTAAGCAGAGAAAGGGGCCACCAGAGCAAGCTGCCAGGCCACTGCAGCGTGCAGATAACAAGTCTCAAGGCCACACTGCAGATTAGCTGCCACCGACGTGACCCTCGCTGGAGGGGCCCTTAAATCCCGCAGCCCAAGAGGCTGCTGAGGCAGCACCCGCAGCAGCACAGGGCTGGCACAGAGCGGGCTGAGAGTCCAAAGCAAGGTGCTTCTGCTCGTGGGTTTCGAGAGGAAGCTGGGACCAAGCGAAGTCTCCGCTTGCCTTAATCTAGAAGCTGAAGTTGCTCCTATTTCGAGAGTTTTGGTGAAGTGGAAAGCAGCAGAAAGGGTGGGTTTGCTGCAGAAGCTCCCAGTAACGCAGGATATTAAGGACCTCCCAAAGGTGAGGGGCACGTGTGTGCTGCTGCTCACCCAGCCCTGCCTGCCATCTCCAGCAGCTCACAGGCAGCAAGAGCTCAAGCCAAGGACCAAAACCCTTGATAAATGGGTGCATTCAGTGGCTGTTCAGCCACAGGGGGCCCAGCTGGTACAGCAGCAACCTGTCTGTTCACAGCTCCAGGAGAAGCTCTCCAGGCTTCCTCCTCTTCCCATGCCCACACCTCAAGCATTAACATCTCTGCTGGACAGGCTTTGAGGTCTGTGGGATGATCTGTTCTAGGACTTTCCTTCCCCCAAGACAGCCTCCTTCTCCTGAAACTTTCTGCAGGAAACATTCGTCATCTCTGACTCTGCCAGTAGCTTCAAAAGCCTCTGCGAAACGGACCAAGCAACAACTTGAGGTGAGCAGAGACACCAAGATCTCAGCTTGCACAGGACAGCAGGCACTGCTCTGCTTCGCTGTGGCCCAGATTCCCAGCAAATGGAAGAAAGCAACTCATTTATAGCCCTGGCAAAAGGGGACACTGGAATTGACTGTCCCAGGAGGTGACACGCTGGACACGCAAGGGCAGCGGATGACAAGATGTCCATGGCTGGCGCAGTCCAGCAAGGAGACAACGGGGAGTCCCTCACCTGCAGAACTCGCTGTCCACGCTGCTGAGCATCTGGAAGAAGCAGGTCCGTGAAGGCTCATCGGGCCAGGGGGGCTGCTCCCCCCAGGCGGCGGGGCCCAGCAGGCCAGCAGCCACCAACACAGCACCCAGCAGCTTCATCCTGCCCTGCAGGGACCGAGGGACAGAGGGGGTCAGTCCCAGGGGCAGAGCTGTGACCCAGCACTGTCCCCACATCATCCCCC